AAACGGAAATTCACGAAAGGAAATACTTAAATCCCCAAGTTCCCGGTGCGCTCACGTCCAAAGGAACATCCTAAGGTCCGGTTACAGATTGGAATTCGCTTCCCAATCGCACGGTGATCGCGATTTCCCTAAACTTCACATTATTGAATCGGAACATCCGGGGCTCCAATTCACGATCCGCGAATTCCTACAGGTTTCTAAGCACCGTGTTCATTGATTTTGTAGGACCCAATTAGATGTCGAAACAGTTTCTGATTTGTCTAATTTTTTGTAAGGATGATCTATGAATGAAGACCTAAAAAATAGATGGTTTGGATCATTAGAAAAAAAATTGTAGGGTACCCTAAAGGGCGTCCCTCAAATAAAATTATTTGAGGGATCCCTCAATAGAAGGGGACTATATATATATATATATATATATTTACCAACATCAGTTTTTTTTTTCTAAAATTTTTGTACTATTCAATTTTCCCTATAAAACCCACCTATTTCTTCAAAATTATCACACCACCAAAATCATTTACCACTCTTTAATTTTGCTTAATCTTTTACTCACAAATTATTTATTAATTGTTGGTATTTTTTTATTATTAATCTTTCAACATCATTATGAATATATTATTTATTAGTATATGTGTGAGAAACTTTCTTCTCTTTAGACTGTTACTTGTATTAAAAAAAAATTAATTGCTTTTTTCTTTTAGTTTAATGTTGTTTTTATTTAAGGTTGTACTAGATGCATTTTGAGAGACTCATTATGTCCCCTTATGTATTTTTTGTTCTCAATGAAATTCACTCGTCACCGTCGAGTAATCTATCCTTTTAGTAGGTTTGTACGTAAGGTATTTTGAAATCATGAGTCCATCCGTGGTCTCATACCTTAACTCTAATTTTACTTCAGACCCAAAAAAATAAAATAAATAAAATAAAATAAAATAAAAACTTTTGTTTTACTACAATTTTCATACCTCCGTTAGTTTACTGTCAAGTTTTCTGTTAAACGATGACGTGACATTCATAGTTGTATTAAACTAAAGGGCAATTTTGTAATTTCAATTTCATCTTCCTCCTCACCTCCCTTTCCCTTTGTTTGCATTTCCATGTTAAACCTCTCATCACAATCAGATCCAAACCCCATCATTCCATTTCAGAACGGTCACTTATCCGACTCATAAGATGTAGGCTTTTTTATATAATTTTTTTTTAAAAAATTTATTATTATTTTTTTTATCAAAAAAGATAAGATGTATGTGATTTTGAGATTCAATTTTCCCTTAGAGGTATGATAGTTTAATTGCTTATACTTGCTTCTTGGAATGAACCATTTGATGCTTTATGGAGCCTATGGACATGGAAATAGTCTTCTACATGTGAAGTTTATTGAGATAGATATACAAACCGTGGAAGGAAACAACTCTCTTCCAATGTGGGACTAAATGCAAGTGTATTTTCCTATACAAACTCTAACACATACAAACAAAATCACCGCTTGTTGAGGGTTCTTCCTAGGGTGATGACTTCAAAATTCTATGTACTACAACCTTATGCGATCCTCCTAAGTGAAGAAAGGTGGAAGAGAATGGAGAGTAATTTTTCGAGTGCCAGAATTATGTTCTTTTATTTACAAACGTAGTTGTAGGGTGCTTTAAAAAGTAATACAGGTGATTGCAAACTTTAAAACGAGACATATAACACTAATTAAGCCTAATATCAATCCATGTAATAATAAAATAAAAATACTTGATACACATACCGGTTGTCCGTAGTTTTTTCATTTTCAATGCAAACAATATTGATAGCTAATATCAATTATCAACGGGGACACTAATTAAGCCTAATATCAATCCATGGTCCATAGTTTTTTCATTTTCAATGCAGACGATCTCGATAGCTAGCTACTTAGAAAACAATTCAAATAAGTTAAAACAGGAAAACTAATAATAATAATCAAGATTTATTTCTTCTACATTCTGATCCAGTAATTCAACGGATTTATATTGATCTTGATCGCCACAGTTACAGTTCAAGTTGAGTCAATCGAACACAGAGAAAGCTTGATACTGTTTGTCAGCGATGGCGGCATCCATGACATGGTGCATGCCAATTTCCCCTCCATTTTCCCACAAGGACTTGGAAATGTGGTAGTTTAAGTTCCAAAAGCCACCCAACCGCGTGAAGCCTGGATGTTTAGTACAAATCCAGTGCGGTTGATTATCATCGCAAAACAGAATGTGTGGCACCGCATCATCCCCGTACCCTTTGTCCTTATATTTGCTCCGTATTGCCTCAAACTTGGCCCGCAATAACTCATGCTCAATCTCCGAGCGACCACCATTAGGTGTGTGTAGCCCAGTAAACACAAAAACCTTCTTGATCATCTGCTCTGCCTTCAAATTTTCATTCACACCCACCTCCAAAATCAAATCAAACACCTCCAGAATATTACGTACCTTCGCGGGTGTCGTCGTTGGTTCACACTTAATAAATTCCATCTTGGACTTGAGATCATGGCCTTGGATCAAGTCTAGCTGATATTTTCCACCGCTGTATTTTATCAACTTCCCTTTCCATGGCTCTTCATTCAGTTCAGACATAAAAAGTACCAAACCCACCTCTGTGCTCGAATAATGGTCTGCAGGATAAGGGCCCACCACCAAGCAGTTTTTGAGTTTGCTCAAACCCTTCCCCTGCTTTTGCTGTTGCTTTATGTCCTCCACCATTGCCTTCCACTGAAGCTCAGCCGCTTCCCTCACATCCTCATATTTATCTCCTACATATTTTATAATCTCATCCGGAAGCAAAGCATCCGGCTTTATCAAATTCCGTCCCCCTCCTGCTTCCACCTCCTTTAAATACTTCTTAACCACACACTCGTCTCGGATTGTAAAGTGTAATTGACGTTCGTAGTAATTGGTCAAGGGCACCAAAAAATCCTTCCTTAGCCGTTCCCACTCTTCTGATACATCTGATTCGGGAGGGAAAAGCCTCCTCGCAATGCTTTCATTCAGAAAAATGGCTCTGTACTCGTCGTCGTCTCTGGTGCATAACTCTGCAGCCCCGGATACCAAACAACCATCATCAATTTCATCCGCCTCGAATTCTTCGACACCATCCGTAAGCGGCTTCATTTTCAGCTTGTGCTGCTTCATTTTGTCGATATCAGACTTTAACAGCTCCACCAAGAGATCCATAACCCCGTCATGTAACAACCTATAATCCGGGTCACGGTCGTACCTCTTAGGATGAAGATGCGCAGCGTAGTCTTCGTCGTCTCTGCCGCCTCGTTTATAAACTAAAAGCTTGTGCACAAGATTGGCAAGTGTCTCCAAATTCCAAGACCCAGGCAAGTCGGCAATAGAGCGGAGATTGCGTAGTAGAGTCTTGGGGTGGTTCTGGAGGAGCCAAAAGACAGCCGTGTCCAACTTTCTGTAAGAAAATGACTTACGCTCGTTGCTGAAGATGAGCTTGAGAGTGGTAAGGGGATTGTGGGACCAGGCCAAGGGAAGAATTTGCTTCAGATATATAAGGCAGTGGTTAGTATCTATTTCCCATGTACTTCTGAGGGAGTTGGAAAAGAGATCAAGGCAGGGGTCGCCAGTGGAGGGAATTAAGGGGCACATCTGTATTTCTTGGTCAACTAAAGGGCAGATGTTGTTGTTGGCGATGTCAGCGTTGGGATGGGAAGTAGCCATTAAAGGGCAGCTTCTTCTTCTTCTGCTTTGGATTGTTTGGATTGGGAATGGGGTTGGTGTGGGTGCAGCTACTAGTAATTTGGCTTTGCCGACGACATTGACAAGGTTTGGGAGGCATCCTGGTTTGTTCGGAATCGGAACCCTACTCGCCCTCGTCAAACAGTACACTTGACCCCTCGGCACCACTGCGTTATTCATCTCCCTCGTCTCTTTCTCGTCTCCCTCTCTCGTCTTTCTTTTAATATATATATATAGGTGAAGCTAGGGTTCTTAATTGAAAGAAGCTTGGTAGGTACCGAGGAGTAAAAGGCGTTCTCCACTGTGGATCCTGATGGGCTTGGTTGCACATAAATTTGGAGTCCGACCTAACCCAATCAATCTACTAGAAAACAGTTGAAGGAGAAATAGTTGTTTTTTTCTTCTTCTTTTAATCTCTATTTTGCAGAGGATTATTTAATTTTTTTGCAAGCTACTGAAAAAAGCGTCTATTAATTTTAAAATGTTGCTTTTTTTTTTTTGCCAAACAAAAATGTTGCTAATTCAATTCCAACAAACTTCGGGTTACAAAGTAGATTTTTATGTTCACCCAAAAAAAGAGAGTATATTTTCTAAATATATTATCTATTTTGTTTATTTTATTCAGCTCAACATATTACTAGAGATTGTAAAATGTTAATTTTACAAGGTTACTAACTTAGGATTACATGTCTACTATTTTTGAAATTCTCCTTCGGTATTCCTAATATCATTAAGTGGAAAAATCCTCTTAATACCCAAGCTTTGATGTCTAGGATAATTTCCAAATAAATAAAATTATATAGATGGAAATCTCATTTACTTTCTAAAGTTAGTAAAAATGGCCCCCATGTGATAGATTAGAGGTGTCAAACGGATCGGTCGGTTCGAGCACGGCCTGACACCGCACGGTTCGAGCATGGCCCGACACCGCACGGTCCTTATCTTTTAGCCGTTTCGAGATGAGATAATTAGGTCTAATGGGCTCTCCGATTTATTAAATTATACTTGTTTTAGAGAAAAATAATACACAAAATTATTACATTTATATGTTACATTTATACTTTGCATGAAATTGTGCCATTTATGAAATTTTAAGCCCACAAAAAAATTTTTTGTTGGAATTTGTACAAAAGTAATAATTTGAAAAAATATATATAAAAATCCTGTTCAAAACTGGAAAAATCAGAAACCACACCAGAATGAGCTTGGAAAGGATGGATTTTGAAGAATTTTATGGGTTGGGCTGGAATTTTCAATTTTTTTTTTTGTTTTTTTTTTCCTGCTCTTGGAATGGGGTGACGATTCTCAAATGATGGTTCTGCTAAATTTTTATTTATTTATACAAACTGTATTGGGAAAAAAAGGAACAAAATTTTGACCTCGGTTGCATGGTTAATGCCATTTAACTACTTGAAATACAAACTCCCTGAATTTTTTTGAAATGGTGAACAGATTTGACAAGCATATTTGATAATTCAACCGTTTTCTATGAATATTAACACAAAAGAGTAAATAGAGAACATGATACGGTATGATTAATTAACTTTTAATTAGATTATTATCATTAGAAAGGTGGCTGGAAATGATGATGTTTAATGAGTTAGCCAAGCAATGGCGGATCCAAGAATTTTTATAAGGGTAGGCTAAATTTTATTTTTTTAGAGGATATATATTATAAGCCTTTTTTTCTCTTGAAACAAAAATGTAAATAAAATGTTATAAATCAAACAAAGCCACATTACGAGCAAATATAACACAAAGAAGTACAAAATATAAATAAATACCAAACAATCTCAAAAAAAAAAAAAAGTTTCGTACAAAACCACCATTATCAACAAATCTTAAAATAATGGTAATTTGCTCTCTATTAGATGCATCTTTTGCTTCATCAACAAGAATACAATAAGTTGATTCTCCAAAAATACTAGACACCAAAAATCATATATGCTAATTAAGACCTCAAGTTGCAAAAATAAAACATATATCAACAATCTCCAAAAGTATAAGAGAGAAAAACTTACCAAGATTGTAGAACCCACTCAAGATAGGTTGGTACAATTTTTTAGAGGAGGAGAGATATTTTCTCTAGGCTCTGAAGGTTCAAATATGGCGTTTTGGGTGGCTAGAAGAAATTTTTTGATGTTTGTTCTATGTGGGTGTAGCCCAATATCAGTAAGATTAGAATAGCTCCAATTGGTAGAGCCTTAGCGTGAGTTCTGCTTCTAATCAAATTTATATAGGTATTGATTGGATTGACGTTTATTATTTCTTATATGCTTCAAGAGTAAGCTTATTTTAAATAGAGGACTGAGTTATTATTTACTTTACTTAGATTGGACTATTATTAATTTATTAAAAAAAGAAAAACAATGCATGTGTGGGCTATATTTATTTGGTGCAATGGGCTAATATTTATTTGAGTAGAAATAAACCTATAATAATATTTTATAAATGTTCCCCTAGGCTGGAGTTAGGTCCGCCCTTGCAGCCAAGTCATTGTCAGCATTGTTGTGTATCTCTTGAGAGTTGTTGATTTGTATTCTCTTGGATATATTCCTTGAGTCATTTTCACAATTCTCCTTCCCATTTGATACCATCATCTCCTTGCGTTTTCTTTTTGTCTTGTTATTGTTCTTCGATTCGTCCGCCTTTTTGTCGATGAAGGACAGGAACGTGTGGAGGCGCGAAGAGCGGGAGGCTCTCCTGCTATGGCTGGAAGGCTCAGTTTGATCTTCAGCTTCGGGGGAATGCCGGCTGAATTGGCGTAGTGCCAACAGAAAGTGAATGAAGAGAGCAATAAGGCATGCAATGCCACAGATAAGGAAAATCCCCAGAAGCTTTGTAGTTGAAGCTGGTCTGATATGAGGTCAGAGGTCTGTGCACAGGTTTTTCTTGACAACCATTTGTCATGAATTTTCTGAAGATCTCTGTTCTCCTATAGGGTGAGAATGGCGGTTGACATGTCAATGGTTAGAGGAGAGTCTCTTGGAAATGCCTGCAAAAACCCATGTAGCAGAAACATTCAGACATCGCACATCTATCAGTTATGTTGTAGCATAAAGAATTATGTTTTGTTTCACTTGATCAGTTACTCGAAATCTGATAAAGTAACATAACATATCAGACTGTCTAACAAAAGAATGATCAGATTGCGCATGTTTTGGGAGAATGGTCAACCAAATATGTGTTGACACTAAACCGGAAAATGTTCATGTTGACAACATACAGTGAATAAAATTTTGGAAAAGTTAAAGAAAACTATGTTGAAATACTCACAAATCCCCACCCGCTTTTGGTGAACTCCTGCCCCCTAATTGAGAACATGCAGTTTTCTGAGAGGAAGAAATCTATATATGCTTTTTCTTCAACCACAGCAGCAACAGTTCATTTCTTATGGGCGTCTGCATATGCTTCTGGTGAGCCAAGAGGAACTAGGCTAGATCTTGGGATGTTGAGCTCCTCAACCAAATAGTTTTGAGCAAAAGACCCTATTTGGTATCCTATAGGTTCGGTGCTCGTTACCAAGGTATCGATTCCAGTAATGGGGGATTCTAGTTGTTGTACTGTGAGCATTGATGTCAGGCTAGCTGTATAACTTGAGTTGATTATTAGAACTATAAAAAGCCAGATGATCAGCACTGTCCGACCTAGCGTGCACAGTGCTCACTGTATTTTCTCCTGAAAGTTCGAAGATGGATCTTTTAAACACACTTTCAAGTTCTTGGTATAAGAACCAGTGTTTTCAAAGGCATGCCTAAGCGCGCGTCGGAGCGCGCGTCGGAGCTAGGCGGAAGGAAATCGCCTGAAGCATTCATCTATTTAGCAGGTTGCACGTTTAGCGCCACGAGGCATGGAGAGGCGTGGCGAAGCGTGGCAATGTGTGGCGAGGCGGACGAAGGGCCGCTGTTCTGCAAGCGGCTGCGAGAGGAAGAAGATGACCAAGCGTGTTTTTTAAGGGTTCGTTGGCAATGAAACGACTTCGTTTCATATAGTTAATAAAACGCACGTTTAGCACTGAGGATACTTAAAGAAACTGACGTTCAGCATGCCTTTTTTTATTATTTTTAAATCATGATTTTTTGTTTTTAACAACCAACATGCTTAACGCCTCCACTGAAACACCACTAACCCTTTTTCACTGAAACACCACTACTTACCCTTTTTTTTTTTTTCTTCCTAAATTAATATATTAACGTGGATATATATATATATATTTATTTATTTATAGTATAACCCTAATATATAAACTGAATTGTGTTTTTGTTTTGATGTTGAATAAATATTTTAGATTTAGGGATTGATTATTATGCATGAATGAGACCATTAGTACTTATATTTGATTATACTTAATACATTATATCAGGGTTCAATAATAATTAGTAGTATAATTTAATTGTGTATTAGAATAAATTAATGTTCAAAAGGCTTACGCCTCAACGCTTCAAGGCTTACGCCTCGCATAGCGCGGATAAAAACGCTTTGTATCTACGCCTCGCCTTTCAAAACATTGATAAGAACACGACATGTAGTACCAAAATTGAACTTACCATGAGCAAATAACATGGTAGAAAAGCAAAACCTGAAAAACCACAGAATGAAGGCAGATGAGTAAAAGTTGTATTAAGTTTATTTGCATTCAAATTCAATAGAAATTCAACTTTCATGAGCTGCAGCTTTCGTGCCATCACGAATCATAGCATACAAATGTATATGCGAAAGCCAGGTCAGAATGTTCTATGTACAAAGTACATACCATAAGATTGTGACAATCTGTTTCCTAGGAGGGCCACTGAACTCATCATTTATTCTATGTTCCAAAATCCACATGACTAATCCAATGATCAGGAAGAAAGCTCCTGTGACACCCCACATCAGTGGACCAAATGGCTTTAAGAACGCCCAAGCTCTCGAATTTAACCTCCTAACTGAAGCCACCACAACTAGCCCTGACTCTATATATGGCTGAGTGAAACCCACAATCT